ATTTTGCAGGCCAACCTTAGATATCAGGTGTGCGTCGGTATGGGCTCGAACCCCAGATCATGTCCATGGTTGGCGAGCGTCCTAAACGCTATGCCACCGACGCATATATATATATATATATATATATATATAAACATTCATTATACATACATCCGTGATGGTTGTAAACGCTAAGTTAAGGCTCCCATAAACGACCTGGTACGGCCAGAGGAGTACATAGAATTCAGTCTTCCTCTCAAAATTCCCGCATGTGGCCATACGATCACAATCACTGCACTCACGTGGCAGCTGAAGTGTCTATCACAAAAGTGAGATAGTGAATGCAATCGTCTACAGATTACAACAGGTGTGATGAACATATTGGTCTAACTACAGGAGCTGGGAAACGCTGACTGCAAAAGCCTGTAGTTGTAAATGGGCTACAGAATGTGAACGGACAGAATGGTGTACGAATGTGTCCCGGTCACCGGAAACTATGGGAACGCAGCTCCTGAAACTGCTCCATTACCTTGTGAATAAGACAGTAAGTCAAAAGCTCGAGAGGTAGTCGCTTAAAAACAACCTCCTGCTTCGACATGAGCGTCCCCTAATAGTATCCCAGGCCTCGCATAAACAACCAGATTTTGTGGGGCACATCTCTTGATGCGGCGCGTCGATGGCATAGCGGTTAGGACGTTCGCCGACCATTCACATGGTCCGGGATTTGATCCCCAGCTGACCCACTCTTTTACCCCGCTGGACCAGAAATAATGCTGGTAAAGAAGAAAGGTTGGGGATGAGGCTAACAACCCCACCCTGTAAAATAAACACTTCTAGAGAAACTTCAAGCCACTAACTTGAAGCCCTATGTTGCACTAGGGAACGTGAAAGGAAAAAAAGTCTCTTGATGCCCATTATGATGTACCGACTTTGTATTTTACCAAATATTAATTTAGCAATAAGTAACTACAGGTTTATTACAAACCGACTAACTGACTGACTAAAATGAAGAGGATAATCAGTTCTAAGGCAAAGGAGGAAGGGTGTAAAAGAATAACGGAATTCAAGATCAGTGTATACAGATTAGAGTTGCACAAACGATTCCACCCCATCCCAACCCAAATCCCCCTTCATCTTTGTGATAATCATTTAAAAATGTCATTTTATTTTGTTACTTCATTATGTAATTACTATTCTGCCCAAATCACAACTTTATTTTGTTTTACGGTATTCTTACGCAGTGCATTCATCTACTCTTCTTAGTCATCGTTTTTCTAAAACATGTTGATTATGTAACGCCTTATGGTTAATCTTTATCAAATTAATTGACCTCGAATAATGAGTAATTACTTTGACACACACACACACACCACGATGAGAAAATAGATTTCTTTGTTCAATTTGTTGTTTTTATGAAAATCAAAGGGACCAGAATTGACACTATCAAAAGTAACAATTGAAGACTTAACAACAGAAGGTTATTTTTTGGTCGAATCAATCTATAATTCCTTCATTCAATTTTATATTTTCCCGCCGACTGATTCAACTGAAGTGCTCGGTCTCGGGTTGACTAGAAGTTAATTGGTGGATGGTGACTAGCAGTGGAATCCAAGATGACCAGACATCGTCGAAGCATCTGCACAAGGAGCCGACAGACATGTCAACCTGACACCAAGCACTTAGGTCCAAACAATCGACGGGAAAATCTACAATTGAATTGAATAATTATTATGACCCGTTGCACAAGATGTGGCTCTCGTGGCCCAAGTGGTCTAGTGGATAAAGCTTTAGTGTCTGTAACTATCGGCACCGAGTTCCAGCCTCAGTGGGAAAACCATCAGTGAATCATTATGGAATGCAGGTTTATTCAGTTGACGAGCCACAAAAAGGACGAAATGCGCATTCTGGATTCCCCTGCCAGTCACCATTTATCAATTAACAATCTACAATTCAGTTAATATTGCCAATTTTTAAGAGGAATGAATGACTTAGCGCAAACACACACAATCCCATTAAAACACCTTCATCACGCTGAAGACTAACAACCACATGATCATAGTGGCTTGTGAATATGCTGGAGTAAAATAACCTGAGTACTACTCATTCTGTGGCGTGAACACACACACGCACATAAATATGTGCAAGCAAAGAAAATACTCAAAACCATGTGTGGCGTATTGATATTGCCAACATTTAACCATTCCCTTAAAAGACAGCCTACTAGGAAATAGTGAATAATTGTGAACATGTTCACTTGTAGACAACAAAGATAAATACAAATTATCAAATACCAAATATTTTCTATAGTTTGATTTTGTAAGGGTTTGTTATGTTTTTACGAGTTGATCACGGATTGATATCAGTTAGAGAACCACTGAAAACCAGAGAGTACTGGATAGCTGCTGTTTCATCCTAGTTTGGGAATCACTGGCAGTACCCACCCACCCCACAGGGGGTTCGAACCCAGGACCTTCTGGTTACAAAGCAAGCTGGCTCGTATACCATTCAGCCACTGGGACCCGATTCAATGGTTCATGAATTCTAACTTCTACCAACTCGTGACCAGTGAGATCCAATTAGATGTTGCGTGTGTGGACGGATGTCCCACCAACGACAATGTTCGGGGTCGCGCTAAATCACGAAAAATAATAATAAAAAAAATAATTCAAGTGATGGTTTGTAGGGATTTGTTTGGTTTCAGGATTTCATTATGAGCTGACATTAGTTAGAGAACCATTGGAAAACCTGGGAGTACTGGACATCTGTTTCGTACTAGTTTAGGATAATATTCTTCCCCTTATCCTTCTTGGTGTTTTCTCTTTCTTTGCATATTATTGTTCTTCGGCATAATTTATACCCTTCTTGCAAACATTCTCTCAATACTATTTTCCATTTATACAATCCGGACTTATTATTGGTGATATTATCTCTTTTCTCAATATATGTCTCCACCTGTTTCATTTCACTCATTGGTTATTTCATGATGAACCGCTCATTGCAGTCTTACTCCCCCCTCCTCTTTGATACATATTACTTTGAACTAGCCACTCACTCACTCACTTGACACCTTTTATAACCTTGACCTGACTTGTCAATTTCCCTACCCTACACCCTACAAATCTATTATGACTAATCATCATCATCATCATTGTCTCCTATTTCACAATATTTTGTAATCGATTTCAGCCAACTAGCACATTTATCACACAAATACTACTATCTATTTTGACACCCCATAATTAATCTGTTATTCTACGCTAAGAAATGTATCCGCTGCACAACTAACTGCTGCGACCGTGGTGTAGCGGTTATCATGGCTGCCTTCCAAGCAGTCGATCCGGGTTCGACTCCCGACGGTCGCAAGAGGTTTCAGCGTCGGTGGCATAGCGGTTAGGACGTTCGCCGACCATTCACATGGTCCGGGGTTTGATCCCCAGCCGACCCACTCCTTTACCCCGCTGAACCAGAAATAATGCTGGTAAAGAAGAAAGTTTGGGGATGAGGCTAGCAACCCCACCCTGTAAAATAAACACTTCTAGAGAAACTTCAAGCCAGTACCTTGAAGCCCTATGTTCCACTGGGGAACGTGAAGGTAAATAAAATCCACAACTAACTGGCCATTATTGTAACAACAATAAAAAACATTATAATATTTTATAATTATAAGAATCTGAAGAGGAGAAGTTATTGAAAAGAATATTCTTCGTTCAAAGAAAGAATAGTAACACCTAGAGAAACATAAGCGTTATAAAGAGTAAATGCATCTGCTCCATGGAGTACAACTTTGACTCGTACCACTAACAGTCTCTAGCCAGAAGCAGTTTACAGATCCCCCCCTCTTACATAGCTCGAAAACAAACGAATAGTCAGAGACTTCATGGATTTGTGCCAGGTTTTGTTTGACATGACCATTCCTAACCTTTTTCTCAACCTAGTGTGCTATGTTAGCTAGCATTGTTCGGTAAGGAAAGTGGTGGTGGTGGTGACTTACCATGCGTTACACGTGTCCCCTGCCTACCTAACACTCTATGCATAACACCTCAATATTACTCACCAATATTATACGCGTAAACTGGCATATGCGAAACAAGCCCTCTGTATCCATGCTGAGATTTCGTCAGAGATCAACCCGCTGGCGTTGACTGATGGTACTACCCAAATAAGTGAAGCGGTCAACATGCTCTACCACTTCACTTCCTATTTTTAAACTAGGCGTCGATGTAGTCCAGTCCTGTAACATCAACTTGCATTTGGCGGGAGCGAATCGCATGCCAAACATTCGTAGATTACAGCTCAAGGTGTTCAGAAGACTCTGCATTTTGTCAAAGTCGTCGCCTAGAAGGACTATATCGTCTGCATATTCCAAGACAACGAGATTATTCCCAGGTAGCAAGTCAATCCCTGAGTCGCTGAAGTCACTTAGGGTTAAGTCCATTAGTACAATATCTATGATGAAATTGAATAGAAATGGGGATAATAAGCATCCTTGACGGACACCAGTAGTCGTCAACAGTTCGGATGACAACTCGCCGTACGTGCTCACCTGGCTGCAAGAGTACGACTAGAGTGCCTTAATCAGTGCAATGTATTTTCTCGGCATTCCCTTTACGGTCAAACATTGCCAGAGAATCGGGGTCATGAGAAGAAAACAAATAACAAAGCCTCACCTTGAGGAACAAACAACCAATCACAGCAGACCTAAAGTGTGTAAATATGATTCACAGATATATGGCTTAACTCTCTAAGAAACGGTCACAAGTAGTAGTAAAGAATAACTTTCAGCAAGAAAACAACCAGTCAGAAGACGTTGCTTCTCTGCTAAAATAACGAATAATAATGTACACACAAATCTATAAATACCTCTTGATTTTCTCAACAAACGATCTGTTGCCTGGCCCTTGTCTTCTGTCGTTACACTACTAGTATTAGAGACGTGTCATAATACAGTATCAGACTGGATTGTCTCTACTGTCCAGTTATTTATACTTCAAGAAAATAAAAGACACCTGGGCGGAACTTACCGGTGATGTAACCATCTTCACATTATCATTATTGGAGTGACCACTTGAAGAAGAAGAAGAAGAGGAGGAGGGGTTTGGTAACGCCTGATTAATAACAACAGGTTTATTATGCGTAGTATCTGACGATGTTAACTCCTCCTTAGGAGGTACGACTCCTTTACGAACACCTTTGGCTGTATCGATAACACGCTGAATATGAATAGCAGACAATAACAAGAAGACAGTAAATAGTCTTAAATATACATTCGTAAAAAGAAAGAGAAATATCAATACACAATACAACTCCTTCCATTTTAACTTTATCGACTAATGCTTTAACTATAACACTATCTGATACAGTCAATAGTGAATAAGATTTACGCCAATCAGTTACTTTATTTTCAAGGATTCTTTTGCGGGGATTTAATTTGTTACGGTTGGAGGACCATTGGAAAACATGGGAGTACTGGGACGAATGTTTCGTCCTAGCTTGGGGCTCTTCACACTACGCATCCACCAACGGGGTTCTAATGCTCACTAGCCCTATTCAGGAAGACAGTTACCTGGGTTTCAGTGAGACGTTGTGACCAGTGGGATAAAAAAAGGGTTGGGTTTCAGTGGTTGAACGGTCCACGAGCTCACCTTGTAACCAAAAAGCCCTGGGTTCGAACCCTGGCGGTGGGTGCGTAGTACAAATCAATCCAAAACTAGGACGAAACAGCTCTCCAGTACTCCATGCTGGTTTTCAATGGTTCTATAACTGACACCAATCCGTGATCAAACTTAAGACAAATCAAATTTCTACAAACAAACTCTAATGCAATAGTCTAATAATGACTAACATACCCAGAATTTTAATCTCTTCTAAATGTAAAACAAGACGTTAGTAATCCAACTCCACGACTAGATAGAGGTATAGAAATGCTGAGTTATACTCATCGAAATTTAATCTTAGTACGTAAGATATATACATATTTTCAAATGTTGGTTTTGTAGGGATTTGGTTTGATTGTATGGAGGATTTAATCATGAGCTGACATCAGTTAGAGAACCACTGGAAAACCTGGGAGTACTGGACAGCTGTTTCGTCCTAGTTTGGGACTCATCAGCAGTACGCACCCACCGGGGTTCGAACCCAGGACCTTCTGGTTACAAGGCGAGCTCGTAGACCATTGAGCCACTGGGACCCGATCCAATGGTTCTTGAATTCTAACTTCTGCCAATTCACGACATAGCGCGGCCACTTCGCAATGTCTTCTTCGATGAGTTACTGCCTCATCCTCGACCTGCTGTACCCTACTGGTCACGGCTTCCCACTAGAACCCCAGGTTAACTGCCTGAATAGGGCCAGTCGCTAGTGAGCATCAGATTAATTTTCAAATGTTGGTTTTGTAGGGATTTGGTTTGATTGTATGGAGGATTTAATCATGAGCTGACATCAGTTAGAGAACCACTGGAAAACCTGGGAGTACTGGACAGCTGTTTCGTCCTAGTTTGGGACTCATCAGCAGTACGCACCCACCGGGGTTCGAACCCAGGACCTTCTGGTTACAAGGCGAGCTCGTAGACCATTGAGCCACTGGGACCCGATCCAATATATACATATATTGAGGTGGAATTTAGGCTCTGGTGTTCTCATCGAGACCCATTCCCGACACCCATCACTCACTGGAACTCCGCCGCCAAAAGTGACCTGCTATGGTCTTCCTCTTGAAAAGCTCTGAGGCTGCGCATCCATAGTCCTATCCACTGTCTTCACGGGCTCCAAGTGTCCCTCACAAAAGGGATAGGGTGAATGCGAACATTTTAGCGCTTACATCCAGACCGACTGCTGGACATGTTGATCTACCTGGATAAGCTGTAAAATCCACAGTCCAAAACTATGGAGGTACACGGACTCCAGAATCCGATGGGATCGAATGGTATATGAACCTGTTTGCGCCACTGAAAACCACAGAGACGCAGCTCCTGGCTTTGCTCTCCTGACTAGTGGATTAGACTCCAAGTCAAAGGCTCGAGGTGTAGCCTCTTAGGGAAACCACCTGCTTCGGTCTGAGTAGTATCTCTCTTGATGCTAATAATGTACGAAATTTGTATTTTGATAATGACAATACTAATACACTAGGAATCCAGGTGAATCCAGCTGATGAATCTTGTGCACAGGGTGAAAAGTGAATCTTCAATTCAACCTCTTTTTTATTCCTTTACGTTCCTAGTTGAACATAGGGCTTCAAGATAGAGACTTGAAGTTTCGGTAGCAGTGGTGTTTAGTTTTACGGGATAGGGTTGCTAGACGCCTCATGCCCAACCTTTTCTCTTTACCAATCAGTTCTATTACTGGTTTGGCGAGGTAAAGGAGTGTGTCAGTAGCTGGGGATCGAAATTGGAACCACCTGTGTGGTCAGCGAGCATTCTACCGCTGTGCCATCACTAACTACCCCAAACCAACTGATTTCATGTTCATTTCAAGGTATGCTGAAAGCATCCATACTAGGAGCCAACAACAACCAAGCAACAACATATGAAAATCGCGCTTTTTGTGTAAAATAAAGTTTTTTACAACATTCCACAAACTGAATCAACACAGAAATAGCAATTAATTAAATAATAGAATTTTTCCCCTAAGTAGGCAGCAGTTATATAAGAGATTAGAATTACATGGAGGATTTAATCATGAGCTGACATCAGCTAGAGAACCACTGGAAAACCTGGGAGTACTGGACAGTTGTTTCGCCCTAGTTTGAGACTCTTCAGCAGTACGCACCCACCGGGATTCGATCCCAGGACCTTCTGGTTAGAATTACTATATCATCACCAACTGGTTGTTCAACTGAAACTAACCAAGGAAATAAAAATTGACAAGTGCGGGGGGGAATTCTTTTCGGAACTACTCGTTTTAGTCCAAAAAAATAATCACAAAAGGAAAACGAATACTTAACACACACACACAAACATATAAATATAAACACACGTATTAATACTACCTCATTATCAGTAGTACTAAGTGCAAAAGTACTATTTGGTGTCTTCTCCATACTTGAACTATATTCTTGCATAATTTCATAGACACAAGATGATATTGATGGTGCTTGAGTATCAGATGTGATTACGTCTGTAATCAATCGATTGACTACTTCCTGCATAACCTCATTCTTCAATGCCTAATCAACAGACAGGTGGTATTGTGGAGGGGAGGGGGAAAATAAAGGGGACAAGAATATGTGGATGATAGACAAAGCACATAAAGTGAATTCAAGAAATAATTAGCTGAAGCAATAAGAGAGCATTTTTGTTAAGAAATACTAAAGCAAAACGAAACGCTAGAGCTGCTAGAATTTCAAACACAGATGCAAGTGACATTTAAATCTTGGGTTTTTGATCGGTTTGTTTTATTTGATTTTCAGAGCTTCGTTTGCATCAAAAAGAACTTACCACTGACTGCAGATTGTAGCTAGAACGAAGGAGCTGCATAGGTGGCTTGCTTGTCTTTCAAAAGACACACCATACTTATGTTATATCCGTATTTGCAAGCTAGTACGACTTTGCCCTGAGAGATGAAACACTGCGAGACCGACTTATACTATAACGGCGGTAACCGCTTTTAGTCTAACAACTATCTAAATGAACATTCTGACATGGCACGACCTGTAGGAACATTCACTGCAGCAAGGATAGCTCGTTGGATCATTCAGAGATGCATAACCCACCACTACATCAAGGTAGCAGGCAACAGTTGGGGTGGGGAACCACTGAAAACCAATGAGTACTGTACATTGGTTTCGCTTTAGATGGATAATCAACGGGTTGGCTTTATAACCTGATCATCCTGCGTTTAATCGTTGATGAGGTTATAAGTGTGCATTAATGAAGAGTACCAAACTCGGATGAAACAGTGCGGCTAAATGATATTTGTTTGTGATGAAACCTACGTTGAAAATAACTTGCAATAAATTATCAGTTATAAATTTTCTTAAGAAGGCCATAAATTATAAGTAATGGCAAAACGTAATTGTTACTATTCCCCCTTCAGTTCCAGTAGAACATAGGGCTTCAACAACATATCTTCATTTTCTTCTATGCTCTGCCATCCTCTTCAGCTGGGTCCACGATTGCCCAAAGTATTTCATCTCTTCCTAACACGATCTCCTCGATGTCACCGACGACTCACTCAATGGTTACACCATTGGCATTCCACTCGTGCGATGGCCTGCATTGCGCGCGCGATGTCATTCGACAGTTTTCTCAATGTATACCCGACTAATCCATCTCCATTTTCTACTATATATTTGTTGCGCGATCGGCTCTTGGTTCGTTTGTTGCCACAGTTTCTTGTTATTTATTTTTTCCGGCCATTTGATCTTCAGTATGGAGCCAGCAAAGGCAGCTGTTGATGAAAGTCTGTAACCTCTTGGAAATCCTTTTTGTTCTAACGCTGGCTAAGTTTCTGACCCATATAGAAGGACCAACTTGACATTAGTGTTTAAAATGCGAATCTTGCTCCTTATACAGACGCGTGCAGAAGATTTCTAAACTGGTTTTAGGTTGACGAAGGCGTAACGTTGCCTTTCCGATTCTGGTTGGCTTTGACACAATCATACGGTCCGCCGGGCTGTGTTTGAAACGATGATTACCTAGATAAGTGAAGCCAGGAAGTAACCTCAGTTAAATCTCTCCCGTTGATGGTGATTGGTGCTGGTTGTTGTTGTTGCTGTTCGTTGGTTGGTTATCCTCACCACCTCCGTCTTCTCTATGTTGCTGGTTTCCACCTGTAAGTCTTCGAGTTTGTGTAACATCATAGGTGTAATTAACCTCAAATTATCCAAGTTCTGGAAGTCTATTTTTTCTGGAGTGTCTTTGTTTGACAGTGAAGATCAAATGGCTGAAGAAGAGACAAGCAACAAAGAACTTTGGCAGCGCAGTGAAGCAACCAACAAATCTATTCGTCCAACCATTATGCAGAATGGGATGTAGATAGATTAGAAACACATTGAAGTCACGCCAGACAAGCTATCGAGTAAAACCCGAATGGTAAACAACAAATTGAGCATCCGACAGTCACATAGAAGAGATTATGAGAAGAAGGATTGAGAGCTTCCACGTAATCATAAAGTCATCTTAAAAAGGAAGCAGAGGGCAGAGTGAAATGGTGATGTGCTGTTGAATCCACATGTTCCACTCAAAATCCAGTGTTAAGTGAATTCTATCCGTCAATTTTGTAAAGTGGTTGAACAAAGCTGGAAGGATACCCCATGAAGAAGCAGTTCAAGGTGATGTTTGTAATTTTGAGTCAATTATTAGGAAGACATGAGTCTGCATTTCATTCTCAATTTATATTTAAACAAATTAAGCCTCCCCAAGTAATGGTCCAGGGTGCGATCCCCAGCCACTGACACACTCCTTTATCTCGCTAAGCTACAAATAATGCTGCTAAAGAGGAATGATTGGGCATGAGGCGTCTAGCAACATCGTCCTGTAAAAATAAACACCGCTGCTACAGAAACTTCAAGCCACTGGCTTGAAGCCCTATGTTCTACTGGGGAACGTGAAGAAGAAAAAAGTCGTTTCATACAGTCATAAATCATGTGGAATCTATCTCAATCGAAAAAAAAAATGGAAGATTAGTGACACGTAGGTGAAATTCAAAAATATCCATTGCAAAACAAAAATCACAGAGATGTGAAACCAACCTTCAACCTTAATTCATAAAATATTATACACAATCATAACAAAAATAATGATTGGCGCTTGAATCAAAACAACAGTGTTTATCATGTGGATGATGCATAAGCTGATACTGGAGGCGGTTGTGTGAATGTACATAAATTTGGCATATACATATATTTTGATTAACACCCTTTGGAATTCCAACCTGTTTCAATTGATTTATCTGACAGCTCATCACTCAAAAAGAGTATTAACGGGTTCCATCAACAATGCAGATACGCCTTGCTGACGAGTGCCACCAACAAGTACGAAACATGGCAGAGGCAGAGACTCTTGCTGATTGCCTCAAAACATTTAACACTACGATGGCTAGCTAACATATAAAATGTTTCAAGGAACACTGTAATGATATCAAAATTTTACAAAGGTGTCTTATCTTTTGCTTTTTCTTAACACAGTTAGAGGACCATCGGAAAACCAGGCAGTACTGTATACCCATTTCGTCCTAGGTTGGAACTCTTCATCAGTATGCATAAAACCAAGGTTCGAACCAGGACTTTCCGAACATAGCTCTTCGACTATTCAACCACTGGGACTCCGCCCTGATCTCGAGCCCCGGTAGGTAGGCACTACTGAAGGGTCTCGAACTGGGACGAAACGGTCGGCCAGTACTCACTGATTTTCCAATGATTTTCAATCTGACGTCAGCTCATAATCAGACACATCTGTAAACCGATACTTGACAGCTGTAACTTCTTCATTGCACTGTTTGTTATACTATGCGCAAAAATGCCCTGCGGTCACTTTTATCTCCAACAGCACACAGTCTGTTGAAGGATCAAACAATGAACAGCACAAACGACCTGGATCAATTATTTTAAAACAAGATAGCCGTCCAGCATAAAGGTGCATTTTTCTTTGCATAAGAGAAGTGTGCAAGCACAACAGAAAGAAACCTATAATAATTGACCAACAAACACAAACTAGCACACACACACATCGATCAAAATGTGCACATCAACTTTCTCTTTTTTTTGCATAATAATGTGCATTCATATCAAAATCAATCAAAGAAAATCATATGAACATCTAATATTCACACCCCTCATTGAGGTAAGCAGAGAGAATATACACCCGGAAAACAAAGGCTATACACACATGTGCGTGCGTAGCCAGTTGAAGCGCAGTACGAACCATATTAACTGATCTTGCATAGTTTTGGTAGTCACATGGTAGCGATTGCAATTTATTCCATTTAACAGCATTTCTTCGATATGTGAATGGTGATATTGGAAGAGTAACTTCAGTTTTCCACATTCTTTTGATATTACTGTCAGTATCATTATTATTGGGATTGACAGATGCGTTCAGTGTTGCAGATCGATCCAGTGGTATTGGGACAACAGTAACTTTAAAAGGATTACTACTATTAGCAATACTAGTACTTGCTACTTTGTTACTGTCATTACAAGTTGTCTGAAGTGTTGAACTTGACTTTTCGCCTGCTAATTGATCCGACTGTCCGCCTTCAACAGAAGACTTGTACATTGATGAAAATGTAAACAATGAACCGGATGTTCTCTGACTAACATGTGCAATAGTAGCACAGCGTTTTACTTTTGGACGAAGTTTTACTTCGGGAATAGGTGTTGTTGTTGTTGCTGTTGGGAGTGGTGGTGTTTCTTGTCGTAATGCATTATGATGCCTCAGAGAACGTGAACGAGCTATGGCTACCACAGAAAAACCACGCATTCTCCCCTCCTTCTAAGGTTAATATGAATTACATTGTTTTAAAAAAAGATCGATTTTGAATATTTGCATCAAACAATATGCAGATGTGTAATGTACAGAATACTATCATCATCAAATTACAAATAAAATGAATACATAGACAATAAAATTGGTGGATGGTGACTAGCAGTGAAATCCAGGATAAAGCGCATTTCGTCCTGCTTTGCGACTCGTCCACTGGCTGGATGTACCTGCATTTCTCAGTGAGTGATGATGTTCCCACCGAGGCTCGAACCTAGTGCCCATAGTTTCACAAGAAGCCGACATGTCAACCTGAAACCGAGCACTTCGGTCCAATCAATCGACGGGAAAATCAAAAATTCAATTATAAATACATAGACAATGTTGGAATTGCTTTCAGAGATAATAAATACACGTCGAAATACTTAATCGAATATATTCTATTCTCTCTGTTTGCTTGATGTAATTGCTTCTGTACATACATATATACACGAGTAAATCTGTAAACACAGTCGAAGCTAACAAAAGACGGGTGAGTACCTGTCGACTTTTGACTGTACCAAAGAGTATGTTGTCTGACAAATTGGAACCAATTAAGCCAGAACTTATCTTGCAGCTAAGTGTGTTTCCGTTTATCGACCAACTTGATCTTTGGTGTAATTAAAGGTAGGCGGATACACAGATTCCTAGAGGAATATAGGGCTTCAACCACGCTTCTCCACTGCGTTCAGTTCTCTGCTAGAGTTTTCACGTGGCTCCAAGTCTGCCCACACGCTTTCATATCCTCTTCACATGACCTCCTCCAAGTCACCCTCTCACTGACGACCAACTGGCCGCTTCCCTTTCGGGTTACACTCGAGGGCTTGTCTAGTGATGTCAAATGATGGTTTCCTCAGAGGATAGTCAATCCACCTCCATTACTTCCTGCACTTTTGTTGTACAATCGGTTCCTGGTTGGTTCGCTCATTGCCAGAGATCCCTGTTGCTGATCTCTTCTGGCTAGCCATCTGATCTTGAGTAGCATTGAGCGAAGACAGCTATGGATGAAGGTGTGTAGTTTGTTTGAGGTGCTCTTTATGACGCGCCAAGTCTCTGATCCATATTGTAAGTAGCACTGACTTCACACTGGAGTTGAAAATCCGGATCTTATTTTTGATGCTGAATGCTGTTGACCTCCACACAGACTTAAGAGTAAAGAAAGCTTGTCTTGCTTTTCCGATTCTGGCTTTGATATCCTCGTCAGTTCCGCCTGTAGTTGAAACGATGCTTCCCAGGTAGGTAGGTGGATTTCTCCTGCTTATGCTGATTGTTGTTTGTTGCTGTTGGCCAAGAATCTTCATCACCTCTGTTTTAACTATGTTCACCTGAAGTCCTATCTTTGATGCTTCTTCTGCCAATTTGTTGCTTTTCACTTGCATATCTTCCAAATTGTGGGAAATCATAGATATACTATCATCGGCGAAGTCCAGATCCTTAATGTATCCAAGGATTTATTGATTATTTCTTTAAACTTTAACCTTCTGTGTATAAAGGCATATCAGTGTAATTTGTGAGCAATGATTATTAACGTTTCGGGGTCTCCTGTTAGATTCACGTTATATCCCATTTGTCATCAGCTGTAGGCAGATGATGAGAAGCCGACCAAAATAAACGACTGTACCACCACCTTATTCTACACAAACCATTGCGCCTATTTTATACAATTTCATAACAGGAAATAGGAGTATGACGTTTCAGGGGGGGGGGTTGAACTGTAGATATTATGATAATTGCTCTGAAACGAGACAGAACGGGGATGTGGAATTGGCGCATAACATTAAAAATAACTTCTCACATAGGCGGCTTCAGATAAATTTAGAACACATGCAGCCTAATTAAGTACTCAACAACGAGCGGAAATCTTATCACAATAAGTGAACACTAAGTAACGAAAAACTCTGAGAGTGGAATCATATTGATCGAATGGAAAACGAAATTGGACGGTAGATTTAAACATCGGACAACTGTCACACCGGTTTGCAGTTAATCGAATCAGCGGCTTACTTCTAAATAATTCATCCGCCACCCCAACCCACCCCCCACCAAACTTAAGCAATTTAAAGCACCCGTAACAACTTTGGTCAGCTTTCTGGATGAACTAATAAGTACAGCATAAAAAATCACACAATATCTGAAGGAAATCTTATCAAGTTTCCTTGGAAGCTCAAACGAATCGGATCAAAATATTTGACTTGAATAACACAACACAAATAACAGTTGTGACAAAACCAAGCAAACGGAGTAGTAGAATAATAGCTACACTATTGATTGACATAGTTAGAACCTACTTAAGTCACATACACACACACACAGCTGAATCATCAATCCGAACTGATTTATTACGGATACAAACACAGTTAGTAAAATCGGTTCAAAAATATGTCAGTTTAATCTATGCACTTAAAGGTGTGCATCAGGCTAAGTGTTCACTAAAGTTTCACACATACACTACAGGATTAATTATCTCGAAGGATGATGACGCTTCAGGAAACTGTACCTTTTCAAACACTTGTCTTTTCTCCCTTATGGATAAATTTTTGTTTTGATAAAGTCTCACAGTGTTATACAGTAATGTTTACTGATGACCAGGTTTCGAGCACAATTTATTGCTGCTCATAATCATATCAAGGTACTCACACGACTTCCTAATTTCATTTATATAGTTCCATTATTTTTCACTTGATTTGATTGGCAGTAGTATTTTCCATATTTCAGGTATGAGTGATGAATCATTCCTATCGCATAGGTTTGGTATAGACTCGATGAACAAGGATTCAGTAATCAACCTCTCTTTCCCCCTATCTAGTTTACTTTCTAGAATTTTAACCCTCTCACACCATGCTACCGTGTAGTTGTGTGTTAATGCATGTAGTGCAGTGTAGTGCTGAGCTTTTTTCTAAATTACTTATCCTCTCATGGTCGACCATTCTTATCTTAGCTAACTTCTTATGTTACGACAATCTCACTACCTTCGACCTACTAGTTTGACCTATGTAGTTGACCTAACACACAGTCATTTCAGAGTATTTTGTAAATTATATCATTTTGTCTAATTGGGTCCACTCACAGGGTCCTTTAACCTACACAGCTTGTCCCTAAGCACCACAGTGCACAATTTTGATTCTTATACCAATGATACTTGTCTTTTCCCTTTTTAAAGGCAGTGTGTTATTTACGCTACTATCATGTATGCTCAATGAAACAACACAAAATACTGACAAGACATTTACGACTAGATAAAAAATTCACTGAAGGGAAAATGTCTCAAAAACTGAATGATGAGAAACAGTAGGTTATAGGATCAATCTAATAGGTAGTTAGACCAAATGATGTTAACTACCTGACGATCACCACAACATTAGGCTGAATAAGTGAACAGTTTTTCGTCAGAAACTAACATTAGTCAGAGAATTATCCAAAATCATGCAACACTGGACAGTGATATAGTCCTAGTTTGGAACTTTTCAGAACTCAGCATCCATAAGCCTACCACGACCAGAGATTAAGCAAAGATTCTTCAAGTTACAGAGTCAACCTATTAAGTAAGATCTTGATTTTTTCGATTCATTCTATTTGAATAGTTAGGTACACTGATTGACCGGTTGTCGGAGTCGAAATGGAAACCAATTGGTACCCGGTCTCGTTTTTGATATTAGAATACATGCTTCCTATTTTGAATTTCTCATTCTATTAGATCAAGCATCTATAAATGTTACTCCACAACCCCTTTCAACTCTAAGCAGTTGGCAATAAGATAAATTTTATTGTATGAGGACTAGTGATAACACCTGGTTGCCCAAGCCTCGGAGGTAAGTTGTTTATGGTTCGATTCTGTGACCTACACTGGTTGGAAGTCGAGAGATTAGACCGATGAACCACAGATCCACTTAAACACTATCACAGCACAGCGGTATGCATGTAGCACACAACCATTAGGCCGCGTACTACCCCGTCACTTTTATCACGATATTACCACCCTATGGAATAACACATATTATTCATCGCGTAATGCGGGAATCTGTAGGTATTTTGTCTAAGACTTCCCTTTCTTTCTTTTTTTGGGTTAAACTGTGTTGTCTGCAGACAACATCGAGTAGTCCTGTAATTAAAAAACAACAACTTCCGAATACAAATTCATAATGACAGTGATAAAACGATACTTTACAGCAATATAGCAAACAAAAGTGACATTTCAACTATTCACAGGATTAACACTAATCCATGAGAGCATACTTAAATGAATGAATAAGTGAGTAATAATCACTATTTACTAAAGATATTAACTATCAATGTATCAGATACAATGAACAAATTATATAAGCTAACTTGTTAATATGCACACAATCATGAAACACTACAGAAAATCTCAGGCGGTGTTTATGAAATAGGATATTATTAAAATTTATCCGCCCCCAAAAAGACTACCTACCATCCTCGAATGTATCAGCAAAATACATGATATTCATCAACAATAGGGAGTAGAAACTACTCTGGATGAATCACTATCAATCAGTTAGTAAAATATGATTCTTACCAATCAATTCAATACTGGTTATAAGTGAGTGCATAAGTTAGCAGAAAAAACAGAAAAGTGACATGAGTTCAAGTGAATGTAGAAAAGGCAGAGGCGGCAATGGATGAAGTTACTTAACCAACAGGAGAAATCCACAAGGAAGTCATCACTTTCACTTGACAGACCATAGGTAGCAGCATCGTTTCAACTGGCGAAGCAGTGGCATAGATGAAGATACCGTGCAGTTATCAAGAACCGAGAAAGTAAGGCAGACCCCTTATCCACTACATCTAATAATATCGCGAATACGATCCGGATTTGATCAACACTGATTTTAAAACAAGTACCTCTATGTGGTTCAGGTACTTGGCACTCGCATCACGCTCAAAAGTATTTTCAACAGGCTACTGTAGACTTTCATTAGGTAGTAGTGGCCTTCACTGTCTCAATAGTGAAGATATAAAACAGGCTAGTTGTCTCTGATCATAGGTGCCTGCGTTCTATTTCCCGTGTAAAGTGGTATAGGAGGGTGAGTGATATTGAGGTTAGGCTTCAGTCGAGTCCTAGGTAAGAAGGGGAAATCACTAGATGGGGTTGTGAAGTCACATAGCCTTCCTCGACGGTCAATGTTAGCTGACATAGGGTCAGGCTGGAAAAGAGATAGCCAGTAGTGGCCAAACCAATGAAATCCACAACAGTTGGTTTAAGCCAATCAGTCACGTAGGGAGGTGTAGACTTCCTGACTGGTTGGAGTCCTCGGAATATTAAAAACCAATGAAGGCTGGAGACAATCAGTGATATGGCTGGAAATCGTTGTCAATGACTATCTCTATTTTGCATTTCTTTTTACTTTCTTTGTGTTCTACATGGAGTCTGGCAACTCGAACTGGTGCATATCGGTGAAAAGTTCTATGTTGAAACCAACCAATCAGTCAGTCATTCAGTCAGTCAATAACGAGGATCGAATGACCTGGCGAGATAAGATCAGTAATAAGGAACTCAGGTAGACTGTGAACCAACCAACTGAAGATGGACTGGATATATATACTGAAAAGACCGTTTAGTCACACAATACGCGCCAGACAATCTCTCGAGTGCAACCCGAATGGGTAACGACGACAAGTTCGGCATAGATCTAAGGGTCACATGTAGGAGATCATGTGAGGAGGAAAGGAAAGCTTACTGGCAATGAATCGTGTAGTCAGCTAAAATAGACTCCAAAGGACAAGGTGAAAACAGAGATGTTCTGATGAAGCCCTATATGTTCCACTCCGAACCCACGGGAATAACGAACAATGGTGATAAAATACTGCCGAGTAAAAAGCGACTTTCACTTAACAAACCTTATACAATAAGAGATAAATATCAAAGACAAATATAATACCAATGAGAACACTTACCGTCCCGTCTGATGAAGTGACCTTTGACGGAGTAATATATTTGTTAGTTTCATATCGATCATCTGAATTCGCCCGACTAAGACCGACGCCACTGTCACCACTACCACCACCACCAGTGTCAGTGCTGCTATGTTTCACATCTTTACTAGATGATGACTGATCGTCTGTACTATTCGTATTATTATTATTATTATTACTATTATTCTCTTCATCTTCTTCATATTCCTCTTCAACAGGAATAGATAGTTTTGTTGAATCTGGTAGTATAAGTGCACCTATCTCATTGTCATCAATTTCATCGATCTATAGGAGGGGGAACAGGAAAGAGAAAGATACATTAAATGGGGGTAAACAATAAGTGATTCATCTTAAATGTATTTTGGTATGCTGTTTTTATTTTTATATTCCTTTACGTCCCCAGTGGAACATAGGGCTTCAAGCTAGAGACTTGAAGTTTCTGTAGCAGTAGTGTTTATTTTTACAGGATGGGGTTGTTAGCCACCTCATGCTTCTTTACCAGCTGTATTTCTGGCTTAGCGAGGTAAAGCAGTGCGTCGGCCGGGGATCGAACCCTGGACCATATGCATGGTCGGCGAGCGTCTTAACCGCTATGCCACCGACGCACATTTTGGTGTGTAGAGAAGATTTATAGCTCGGGTGGATGATTTTGATTTGGTGTTACCTTCTCTCTCTCTGGGCTAGATGGCGGTTTAATTGAGAGAAGCTTTCTTTGTCCTTCCAGACAAAACCGCTTCAGAACAAGCTTCAATATAAAGTCTCAACTTATTTGAATTCTCCATATTAAAGATGTACGTATATCTCCTGACAACGTTTGGTGTCGTATTTGGTTGTTAATTGGCATCAGTATTTACCGCTTTCACTGACTTGGGATTCGAAATTTTCGTCATGTGGTGCATTCTGGTATTTTTTATCACTAGATCGTCATCTGATTATCAAGCTTCTAGAAATTCCCTGGTATTTTTGGGTTTTTTTCACTGTTTAAAATCTTCACATTTTCCCAATCAAACTGACATCCATTGCTGTCTGCCTGCATTGATATATGAAGGAATAAATTTCGTATCTTTGGACGTCTAGTGTATGTTCTTCAACTCGGAGTCGAAAAGGACGCTCACGTTGACAGATATGATGGTTGTCACAATTCATGCCACTGATTTTGTAAATGGTATCGATCTTGTCTTCTTTCGCTGTTGTGTGCATGTTTCCCTCTGCATAGTATTGAGTGAATGAAGGGATTCTGCTGGTTTCTGTGTGTCCAATATCTATTCCGAATGGTATTTTAAGTAGTCTAGTCGTTATTTCAGAAACATTCCTTATTATATACAGTAGGAGGAATTTTCTTGCTGTTTATGAGGATAGTGTCTTTCTGGTCCTTCGATCTAAGCTCAGATATTTTTTGGTGAAACTGTATAGATATCGATTTTTCTTGAAGACACTTAAGTTCTTTTCTATTCTTCTGTGGAGTAGAGTGTTCCAGTGTGTTTATCCTCTTTTGAATAATGTTCGTACGGAGTCTCTTATGTGCCCTGATGAACTACTACTGTTGTAGTTGAGTATCTGATCTGTATGGGTTGATTGGGAAGAGGTAGAAAATTTCAAACAGTCGAAACACCAAAAGGAAAATTTCAGAGAATTCCTAGAAGCTTGGAACTTAGACGATGAACCAGCGATCAACAGACACCTTTATTACAGATCAAATTTATCAATTATGATAAAAAGAGATTATAAGACACGTAACGAGAAAGTCAACGAAACCCGTCAATACGGATACACTTAAATCACTCAGCTGAGAGAATGCAACCGAATTAAAATGATTCAAGTATACTTCCAAAGATGAAAGTGTTGTAAGCAGATACATTGTTCCACTCACAATGTCTTATCAAACTGTATCTCCACTTCTCATAGTTTTTTGAGTTGATGGTTGTTGAGTAAACTTACATAAGTAACTGGAGCAATACAGATCAATAAAGAATAGCTGATCAAATATTGACCTGTTTATCAGGATTAACTTCAGAAAACTATCTTCATGATAATGTGAAATATCTATGCACCCAGAGAGGATTTTCTTCGTTGGCGTTTGTAGGATATTCTCACTTTACTAACTGGTGGCTTCGGTGTGTCAATGGTGGAATTCGCGCCAAACACACCCTTGTCTCAGGTTCGATTCCTGGAAGATGGATTCCTAACCCCTCTAGTCTACTAACCGGTAGTAGCAAGCCCAGGAATGGTGGATGACTGGACATGAGGCTAGTAGTAATCACACCAGTGCAACTGGAACTTCAAATCGAATAGTCTTTTTGTACACAGTTCTTTTTGTGTGTTGTCGGATTATTACTGTTGTAGTTTAGTACTTGGTCTGTGTGAGTTGATTGCGAAGAAGTGGAAACACACCAGATGAATGTATCAGGGAATTCGCGGAAGCCTCAAAACTCAGATGATGAATCAGCGATCAACAGACACGTTAATTACAGACCAAATTTGTCAATTACAAGCATACAGAATAAAACACGTAACGAGAAAGTCAAATTCTAAGTTAATAAAATCGACCAGCACTGATGCAATTTAACAACCAATCATTACGACAAAAGTTGTCAAGAGATACATTTATATTATAATTACTAATGGGGTATTCAAATAAGTTCACTTCATATTAAAACTTGCGATGAAGACTTTGTCTCAAAGGACAATAATGATGAAGCTTTACAGTTATATCAACCAGTTGACAGAGCACGGGCAAATCAAAATACTGGCATGTTTACCTTTTCCAAGATAACTTACACAAGGCTCGATTAATTCCCCCCATTTGTATCAAAACTAGCATATTCTCAAACAGACACCGATATTTTTGCATCCTTTAGACTATAAGAGATATCACCTACAGCTACCACCTACGGATAAGCAAAGATCTTAGTGAAGTGACGACTCATTGGCTTAAGATATCAGTTTGTAGCCAATAGGAGCATAGGTTGGCTGGTCCCAGTCAAATTACTTCAACTTTAGCAACTGGATACTATCGTCAATCCTGACAATCTGAATGTGGTTCTTAGTCTACTATTACAGCTTATTTATCCAGATTATGAAGCACACTTGTTGTGTGAGTACTGATGAGGCACACACCCACACACTCTATGCAGAATTCGGTGGAAAGAGGAGTCGAACTCACGACTCACAGACTATCAGTTGAATGGTCAAACCAATTAACCGCCACTTTCTATATTCATATAATAATACAGTGTCACTCTTGGAAGATCAGAACACAGCATGCATTATCATCCTGTGGCACGGAAAACTCCAGAGGACTAGCCTGCTCTATAAACAAACATCTATTCTGGGTAACTGAACTCAGATAAGTGTGAACCAGAAATGCTTCACATTTAAAAAATAGGAAAAAAAGAATTTACGGTATAATAAAACGAAGAGAACAACTAAGGACACGAAAGAACACTGAGTGTTTCTCACGTCTGCGACTATAGATAATGATTTTAACCAGTACAGAATGCATGCGAAATTTTTTTCAATACCACTACATGGATATAGAATCATATCTTTCTTGAAAAAAAAATCTATTTTAGCAACCCCAAACATTGTGTTTATATTGCTAGTTAGGTGCAAAACAAAAAGCCTGCTTGTTCACACAGATAAAAGCAAACTTATTGAATGATTTCAATTGTTCAAAGGTAGACTGCTTACCAACCACGAAAGTGGTCCTAGTTCGACTCCTGGCCAATGGCACTCTTAAACCTCACCTAGCTGAGTGAAAAAAGAAGGTTGTGTGTGTGTGTGTATGTGTGAGCCTAGTGACCAATCACTACTAAGACTTTAAAAATTAAGCTCGAAGTTCCACTGTGTTCCACTCAGAGATCAAAATTAACCGATAAATTGATTGTTAGATGGTTAAAAGCAATTGTGAGGAAGCCGTCATACTAGATTTCTACATTACGGCATATATGCAACCTAGAAGGAAAGTAGATGATGCTTACTGAATGCCAGATTCATTTACAGAATCTTCTCCGGTGGTAGAGATGCCGTTTTCTCCAATGAATGTGAAGTTTAGACCAACACCAAAACGGTGTGCTTCCGTAGTACTTTCTACTGCTGAGGCCTTAATCATTCGGATGTAAAACACCGATTTATTTACACAGGAAAAAAACTACCCATAGCCACCTTCTACTATTGTGTATGATTCTCAGCTCAATAATTTGTAATCAATATTTTCTTATTAATAATAATTTTTGCGTTTTTCGTATAACTAAGTAACTGGCTTCAACGTTGAACTTCGCACAGATGTGCACCAGTTCCAGTTGGCACACTCCACTTCATGTACTTTACAAAGCAAGAGAAAATTGAGAGTAAAGAGAGATTCAAAAGAGAGAAAATAAACAGAAACATAAGGCAAAAAAATAGTAATATTGAAGAACAATAGAGTTTCATTGGATAGCATAAATCACAAACCGTGAATGCATCAACGACACTGAGAACGATTTTCAGCCATATCACCAATTGTCTTCAGCCTTCAATGGTTTTTACCATCTCGAGGAACTCAACCAGGAAGCCAGTCTACACCTCCCTACGTGACAGCTGGCTTAAACTAACTATTGTGGATTTCATTGACTGATGAAACTATGTTTCCGCTTGCCCACCACTAGCTCTCTCTTTTCCAACCTCATCAATCCTATGTCAGCTAACATTTCTTGTTGTCCAGGAAGGCGACGGCTAGGCATACGTAGCACATGCCCTAACCATCTCAATTGATGCAGCTGCTTCACAGCCTCGTCGACTGCTTTCCCCTCCCTACCTAGCACTCGACTGAAGCCTAACCTCAATATCGTTCACCTTACTACACCGCTTCACATGGGAAATGGAACGCAGTCACTTATGATGAAAGACAGCTAGCTAGCCAAGCTTTTCATGTCTTCCACTCTCAATGGCCGTGCCACACAGCCGACCATAAAGGAGGATGGGACGGACTGCTGAGCAGTAACACCCCCCCCCTTTGGTCGGTAGCCAGTTGGATATCACGTATACGCCAGAGACCGCGTAAATTGACATATCCTAACCAAGCCTTCTGTATCCATTCAGATATTTCGTCAGCGATCAACCCACTGGCATTGGCTGATGCAACACTCTTCCTAAATAAGAAGTGAAGTTAAGTCGGCCAGTCACTAGTGTACAGCAGATTTTACAGGCATCTGATGAAATCCTGTAACCAATCAAATCTCAGCAAACTAACACTCTTGAATGAATATTTCATTATACACTTATTATTATACGGACTACAACATCAC